TAGGCCTGTGAAAAATGTGCTCACGAGAACAATCAACCACTTGACACCAAAAGGACGTTTGCCCAACACCAAAGCTGAGGCAACAGAAGGGGTAAGGCAAGCTGGATGAAAGGGCAGGGGCAGCCAGGAGGAACGTGCTGATGCAATGCTGTGGAAGTTACAACCAACTTCCTGGCACAACTTTGTATCAACTATTGCTAGGAAAACTAAGTTCTGAGGTCAATTTTTACTTAAAGTGTAATCAAATGTTAAAATAAACAAACAAACAAACAAAAAAGAGTCACACACCTCCCTCCATGATAAATATAATAACAGTATGTTAAGGACCCTGGTTGTCCTGTCTGTTAAGCAGTTTTACTGCTAACTTCAAGGTCAGTGACAGCTTAAGGAAGCTGTCTGCTCTTATAAAAATGTGCAGCCTCTGAACTCCAATATAGGGTGGCTCTGCATTGGAATTGATTCCATGGCAGGGGGGTTGTTTGTTGGGTTGAGTTTAGGAGGAACTGAATGCACAAATACATTTCCCTCTTTGTGCATCATGAGCTGAACGTTGAACTTCTAATCACGAGATCAGCAGTTTGAACCCACAAGCAGGACAGCAGAAGAGCAATGTGGCTGCCTACCCTTGTGAAGATTTAATCCCAGAGTTCCACTCTGTCCTACTCTGTATCTGTGGTTGGAATGGACTTGATGGTCATGGGTTTGATTTTGAGTTTAGGTGCACAAATGGTTACGTGTTTGACTCCTAACTACGGATGCTTAGTGGTTTGAATTCACCCAGAGATGTGTTGGAAGATAGACCTAGAAATGTGCTTCAGAAAGTTCTCATCCTTAATCTTTGTAGCTTGTAGCAGGTCTACTCTGCGCACTGTACTCATCATATGTTGGAATGGACTCCACAGCAACTAATAACAATACATAGACTTTAAAAGAGCTAATGACACCTGATTGTATCTAACAGTTGTTTGCACTTGATTGAGGTAATTTGTGTTTGAACAACTAAGTCAGCAACAATAAAGCAATCCTTCATTTATGTGACTAAATAAGAATGTCACCTTTGTTAATTAAATACAGTGAGCACATCAAATGCCACTGTTAATGTGAAAATTTAAGAGTGGAACATTTAAGATCCATTGGAAAGAGCTTAACAAAGGCTGGATTTCTGAACCAGAGGCTACTTATGTTCAGCTGTTTGGTGACCCAATTGATGCTCAATTAGTGATTCCATTAAATGAGGTTAGGATTTGCCTAATTTGCACTGGGGAAAATTTATACTACTGCTCCATTAAACTGCAACTAGGTCAGAGTTGAGAAATAAATAGAAATGTATGGAAGACTGCATTACAGTGCCTCAGTTAATTGTTGGCTACAACAATTTAGTGAAACATGCATAAAGTAACTCAATTGAATCTACAAATCTATTGTATTTTTGCTAGGAAACAGATGAAAGGCAAAAACAGTTTCTGAAGAGCTCTTATTTTGACCTAACTGTAATTATTTCTCATTGAACTTAATATTCAGGGAATGCACCTTACCTTGTACACATCAAATATTAAAAATAAGAACCACTGATAGCCACCTTTGATACTGAGCAAAACCTCTAAATCCTCCCAAAGCACTTCTTACTTATTTTTTCTAACACCTAAGCCATATAGAACATGTCATCTTTCTCAAAGACATACATCCTTACCTGATGCTTTGGTTCTTAGCAATTCTGATGGCTTACTTGGTTCTCCAATCCCAATGCTGTTCCCAGCAACGACACGAAATTCATATTCCACCCAAGGACTCAAGCCAACCACGGTGGCATTGTATGTCTTACCACTGAGGATTTCTGGAACTAAACAAGGAGTGGCATGCTGAAGATACCTTCATGGGTGCTAGTCACAATCAGTCAATCAGTTAAATAAAGAAAACTTTCATGGGTTAAAAAAAATAAAAAATTACTGAACACATGAATCACCTACCTGTAGAAACAGCCTGCCAGCCCAAAGAAAATGGTGTTCGAGCCTGAATAGTAAATATTTGAATAGGACTGTTATTATCTGGACCTGGTCTCCAGCTGAGTTGAGAGGTACTACTCGAAATATGTTCCACTCTCACATCCTCTGGGGGGCCTGGGGGACCTTGAAAAATAGGTTTTATGATATTTAGAGTTATTAGACTAAATGACAGAGGCAGGGGCAGTTTATCTTATCTGAAAAAGCAAAATATTGAACTTAGTATGTTGATAGGATATTATTAGATATAAAGTTCTATTAATTGAGCTTACATGGTGGGAGATTAATTCAGAAATGTTTCCTTTGAAGATCAGAAAATGTCAGTCATAAAATGGTTTTATATCATTCAATAAGGAGTTAATCTCAAAAGCTGAGAAACATTCGCTCTCCCTCTGCATTCGCAGTAAATACAACCAGTATGGAGAACTTGAGGCGCATGTGAATCCAAGCCTGCTGGTTTAGTATAAATAGAAGGCAGCTCTCAGTTTTAGGGATTGACATTGCCTATTGAGACTGACTGTGCCATATAAATAGACAAAAACTGCTCAATTCAATGTCCATATTCATAGCACCCAAACTCTTGATTTTAAAGGTTTAGTAAAATAGAAAATTCTAATATTTAGAGTCAGTTCCTATAATGATGTGATCTTTGCAAGAGGTAGTATTTATATATTGAAATTTTGGCCTATAAATATATCAAGTGATTATTTATTTTAGCCATTTTGCTTACCTCTAACAATGATATCAGCTACAACAGATAAAATTTCTAGAGTTGTTTGAACTATGCACGTATATTTTCCTGAATGGCTTAACTGAATATTCCTTATCATCAAATCTCCAACAGATTCCTACAGATATGGTGGGGAAAATAAGAAAAAAACATAATCTAACTCAACAGGTCCCAATTTGCTCTGGGTAAATATTAAATATAATATATATCTGTAATTAAAGTAAATATCACTATAGTGCAGCTTCTTGTACTGGTTTCCTACATTATCCCTTTTATTGTGATTGCATGTATAACATAGGTTTTTCTATGAAAGACATAAAGCTAAACAAAACAGATGCCATTTCAGAACAAGACAGTGATTATCCATGCAAATAAAGGTGGAAAGAATAATTATGAAAGATGTGGATTCATGTAAAATTTCATTCATTTTATTAAATACTTAAAAAATTCAAAAACTTACTCCTCCAATTCTTTCAAAATGATAAACTCCTTTTTTTTTAAAGTCTATGATATCTCCATTGAAGGACCAGACAAATACAACTTCAATGGAGGGGTCGTGGGATACCTGGCATGGTAGGACTATACTCTCACCCACCGTCACATCCATTTTGAAAGGTGGAACAGTAATAACTGTCCTCTCTGTTGAGAAAAATATATGTATTTTATTTAATGAATCCCTATAAAATGTTTGGCTATTGCAATAAATTATATATTTAGCATGATTTTGCAATGATTAAAATAAAATAAATGTCACTCTGAGTTCTACTCTGATAATTATAAAAATGGCATCTCTTTTTTGCAAATATACCTGCATTCGTTATCAATTCAACTTATTACTTGTTATAAGATTAAGAATATAATTTTTTAATATTTCCTATATAGTTTTCAGTATATTATGGATTTCAAAAAAAATTTAAACATGTAGAATAAACTATATTTTATTTGTTATTTTATATTTTAAAATTAGAAGCAAAAATTATTATTGACACACAAGTAGCAGTTAGAAATATTCTTTTATAATTTTATATAAACTACATTCCCAAAGTCAGAACAATAATAGCTTATGTAGAGAATTATACTCACATGCTTCTATGCATATTTAGATGTATTAATACAACATACTTATATCATTTGTGACACAGTGGTAATAAATTCCCATAGTGGTAATAAAAATGTATGAATAGCAAAGATAAAAGTTTTTCCTTATTTTAATCCAATTTTTGCAAAGGAGCCTTGGTCATATATTTGGATTTAGATGTTCAATATCCCACAAAGGTTAATCTTTGAAAGGGCTTATATTCGGTAATAGGGTTTTAGACGAAGTATAATGAAAAGTTAGTATTCAGTAAGACATTCCACAAAAGTGAAATTAGGACCCTAGAGAATGTCTTTCTCTAAAAGTGAAACACAGATAAAGTATAACCCTTCCTAGGGAAGTGCTCTGTAAGATTAACTAAATATTTTAATTTTCATTTTCATTTCTTAATGTTGTTCAAAATAGTAAGATTTCATTTATATAGTTATCTGCAGTAGTGATATGATGAATAAACAATCTGAGAAGCTTGTTTTTTCAACATATCACTATGCATAAAATGCAGCCACAAGATTTGCAGAAGGAGAGCTAGGAATTTGTGATATGCAACCTTACCTAACAAACATGCAGGTAATTTGCAAGACTTACAAGTTCTGATGCTAACCGCATGGCTAGCAGTTCAAAACCACCAGCTGTTCTGAGGGGCAAAAAATGAGGCTTTCTAAAATTGTACAGAGTTACAATATCAGAAGCCCACAAGAGCAGTTCTACCCTCTCCTTTAGGTTTGTTAGGATAGCAGTGAATTTATCTATTTGTTTGGGTTTATGGACAAAGGTTAAAAGTCTTCAGTATGGATTACATCTCAAAGTCAGCCAAATAAAAAAATCACCACAGTTAGATTGAAAATAATTTCATTATAAATAAGGAAATAATTTAAATTGTCAATTAGTTCATTTTACTTGGATCAATAATCAATGGAAATGGCAGTAGAGAAATATATGACATACTATATTGTATTGGACAAATTTGTTTTGTAAGACCTTTAACATTTTTTTAGGAAGCTAAAGTCTCACATTCTTTACCTACACTATGATCTTTTAAAGCCCATTATATATATATGCAAATACTGGCCAAACGGGGAGAAAAAAATAGACAAAAGAGGAATTGTGTCTGACGAAGAATACCTAATACATAATGGACTCCCAGAGAATGATCAAATCTGTCTTAGAAGAAATATAATCTGAAAACTCCTTACTTAGATTGAACACATCATTAGGAAAGAATAATCACTAGAAAAGTACTCCTACTCTCTTCTAATTAGTATGGTTAGGTTTCAAAGACAATGATGCTATATAAACATCAGTATTATGCAAAAATGGAGGAGGACCACATTAGATCACAAAACGGAGATCACTTCATCTTACATAATTACCAAGCTATATAATTAAATAAAATAGCAATTTGCATTACATCGTTACACAATTGTGAAATTATGTTATTACATAATTGTCAAACACTGAGCATCATGACCCAACCAAATTAACTCATAATGTTCAACACCATAGCTCTCATCATTCAGGACTGCCAGAAATAACTGCTGCTATGCAAAATAGTCAGAAAGAAAATTTGTCACTATTGTTATAGATTCAAAATGATGGATTACAGGAGTTATTAACTGAGAAGTAGGGAGACTTCATACATTGTAAAAGATTGGTGAAAATGAAGGAAATTGTGAGATGTATTGAAATGTATGAGATGACATCTCATGCCAGGACAATGAACTAAAAAATATGGGCAATCATAAATATGGTTAAGGACTGAGGATTATTTTGTTTTTATACATACAATGTCCCCATTAAATGTATAGTAGTCAAATCCATGATAAATAACAACCTGAAATACTATGGCACTTTGTTTAGCAATAGAATGTTTAATTATGATTCTGGCATTTTGAAAAATTGCAGTTGTTTCTTTAGTAAACTTTTGGCTTTAGAAAGCGGGAAGTTTAATCCTAAATATAGAAGCATCCCTTGGTAAAAGATCCATTAAAAAGATAAAAGACCCCCATAGCAGCTACATGGACAACTGCCCCTCGCCCCAGAAGAATTTATTTGAGAGGAAGGCACTGAAGCTGCAGCTAGGGGAGAGGGGCATGTCTGATCAGAGCAAATGGGAGCACTTAGGGGCAGGAAGAGAGAGTGGAGCACATCCTGACCCACCAGGCCTGGAAGATGACATCCCAGCTCTGAACAGTCACTGGACAGAGTGGACAATATGGCTGATCCCACCACGAGACACGTTGTCCCTTGATAGTCCCAGGATCTAAGGGGGACAACACTGGATACCTAGTGTCGGGACTGGCCCAGGCTGACCCTGAGACACTGAGGCAAACCACTAAAAGTGTGCGGCAGAGCAACCATGGGAGCAGAGCAGGGAGCCCCCGAGGGAGTATAAAGGACAGACTCTGGGACCAGAGCATGGTACCCTATAGGACCGGACTGAAGGACATGCCTAGAGATGAAAAATCTGACCTTAATCTATTT